TATATTCAAGACATCTTGCATTTCGTGGAAAGATGCAGTCACTTTCGATTGGTGAGAACCGTAAGTCTCTATCTTTTTCCTATTAAACGTTATTCAAAAAACATTCGAGATCATTTGTTTTCTTTTATCGACAAATAGATTAAGCTTTTTGTATATGTATTTTAAACTCGTTTAATAATCTAAAACCGTTCTTCTTTCTAGGCTGAAACTGTATCATTTCCTCTACAACAGCCGAATTTGAATTTTCAAACAACACAAGAGTTTGTTGAAAAGATGAAGGTGATTTTATTTATTTTCTCTAATATGTCATGATCCATTAATTATGATAAATTTTAGCCGTTAACATCGTTAGAGCGTGATATAGCTGCGATTTTACATAAAAGTGAAAATAATATCCAAGAAAATTCACTATTAACTAAAGCGGAAAAGAAAATTATTAGTAAAATGGATATTTTACAAGTAAGTATCAGTTCTTTCTCGTTTTTTCTTTTCTTTTAGAATAATGTCTACTTTTTGATTTAGGCAAAAGAAAAATTGTTGGAAATGAAAAAAATGCGTGCACTTGTTTCCTATCAACAATCAAAATTTAAAAGAACTAAAAAGATAAAAAGTAAAAAGTAGGTGTACAGTTGCTCATGTCGATAAACAGTATAATTGTCTATTCAATGACTTTCTAGATATCGTCGTCTTGTACGAAAAGATCGTCAGAAACAAGAAGAAAAAGAACTAGAGAAATTGTCAAAAGAAAATCCCGACGAATTTGCAGAAAAAATGGAACAACTAGAAAAACTACGAATTCAAGTAAGTTAAAAAAGTTCATGTTTTTTACTTAACAATTAAAATAATTTTATGCCATATATTATCATTTTAATGTTTTTATTTCTTACTTTCAGGAACGTCATACATTACGTCATAAAAATACGTCAAAGTGGGCAAAGGAAAAAGCGATCTATGCCCAATTTAATACTAAAGTAGGATAAAAAACATAAGTAAATTTTGATCTGTGTATATATATCATATTTGATATAGGCTCGAGAAGAAATGGAAGAACAATTAAAACTTGGTAAAAAATTAAGAGCTAAACCTGCTCTGAGTGACGATGAAGATGGACTACCGCAACAGACTGTCAAAAAACAAAACAACAATAAATCACAGACGAGACAAACTGAAATTCCACTAATTATTATACCACCAAAACAAGATGAAAACAATCCGTGGTTAAGTGGAACAAATGGTCATAATAAGCCACGATCACCAACATCAGAGTATTCAAAATTAACTGAAATAAAAAATGATGAAACATCAAGCGATGAGGAAGAAGAGGAGGTGGAGGAGGAGAAGGAGGAGGGTGATAAAGAGTGAGTGCAATATACAAGTATAGAATATTGTAAATAAATTTGAATAACTTTATCATTAATGTTTACTTTTTAGTAGTACAGAGGTTGTTGTTGCTAAGCGTGATAAAGAACACAAAGAGCAAAGGAAGAGGAAAGATGAAAAACGAAAAGAGGAAGAAAAAATGATAGGAGATGAAAAAAAGATCAATAAAAATGGTTATGGGATAAATTCGGTATTAAACATGGAATTACCAAAATTAACCAAACAAGAAGATAATCAAGAAGTACCCAATACAACTGATGGTTTAAAAAGAACAGCATTTCAATTAAGACAAATGAATATTCAAGAAGCATTTGCTGATGATGATGTCATTGCTGCATTTGAAAAAGAAAAAGTAAGTTTTAAAAGTTAATAATAACAGTCAATTATAGACATTAAACTATCTTTTGTTATTCAAAGAATGAAATTGAAGAACGTGATCGACCAAAACCAATTGATTTGATGTTACCTGGTTGGGGTGATTGGGGTGGCGCTGGAATTGCTGTTAATACTAGAAAAAAACGAAAGTAGGTAATTATTGGAGTAAATGTCAAATGCGGAATCAAAAGTAGATTAAAATAAGCTGCACAAATTATTCGACTTTTCCAGTAATAATAAGAATCTCTTTTTTTTATGAATCAACGTAGTAAGGAACTCGTTTTTGGAGTAGTCCTTTGTTCTAGAAAGTCGACGATTCACTTAATTACTTTAGCGTAATTTCTCATTCTGTTGGGACACTACTTGTTTATTCAATTTGCGATTGTTTTATCATCTACTAAAAATTTGTTTTTTTACGTTAATTGTGGCTAGGCATGCACCAGTTTTTAACTGGTGTTGGAGCATCCGGGAGAATTGCTACAGATCAGTTATCTCGATTCTCTCAGAGCTGTAAAACATCTAATTTTGTAGAAAAATGTTTGCTCTACAAAATGCATTTGTTAAAAGAATTTCAGAATCATTTCTAAGAAAACTTAGAGCATTCTAAAATGTACTAAATTAAGAAAAAAAAACTGTTCGAACAGGTTTTTTTCCGTGATTTAATGTATTTTTGAATACTATGAGTTTTCTTAGAAATGATTCTGAAATTCTTTTAACAAACGCATTTTGTAGAGCAAACATTTTTCTACAAAATTAGATGTTTTACAGCTCTGAGAGAATCGAGATAACTGATCTGTAGCAATTCTCCCGGATGCATGGCTAATTGTAGCCATCCGGCTATCATTTCATAGTGCCAATGTTGTCTTTCATCATTTTATATTATTGGAAATAACATAATTTTCTATGTTTGTTTAGATTCTTAATTAAACCTCCACCTGCTCAACCAAGAAAAGATGTACATCTTAATCATGTTATTATCAATGAAAAAAAGGATAAAAAATTAGCTCAACATTTGGTACGTTTTTTTTATATTATAAAGTTTTTTAGATTTTATTCTAATTTTTCCATTAATACTATATCTAATCAGTGACATTCTTCTTTTTAAGGTTAGTGAGCTACCATATCCATACGTAAATATTGATCAATTTGAATCGACCATCAAACAGCCGTTAGGTAAAGAATGGAATCCTGAAATAGCGTTTCGAAGGTTAAATCAACCGAAAGTCACAACAAAATTAGGCACAATTATTGAACCAATGGATAAATCTGAATTATTTGATAAAAAGAAGAAAATGAATATTGAAAATGAGCAGACGTCAACCATAGAAGATACGCTCTTTGATAATAATGAAGATAATGATAAGAAAAAGAAAAAACATAACAAAAAAGGAAAAAGGACTAAAAAAAATGTTGAAAAAAGTTAACATTATGTTTTGTTATTTGTAATGAATAAAATATACGTGGATTATTGGATTTTTATAGTTCATAGTTGAAGAACTTATTTGTGATAGACAATTATATTGTAATATCTTTGACTTGTCTATGATACTGGAAAAAAAAATGTTTACGAGCAATATAATTCATTATGTTCTGGATAATATGCTCAAAAGATGCACTTCAAAAACATATATGTTAATTTATCTACTTTGGTTAATTGTATAAAAAGTTTTTGCTCTAGATCAATGACTAATTTAGAACTTTTCCCAACGGAATTTTCATCAAAATATTTGAATTATTTTCAATTGTTTATTGATTTAGCCAGCAGAATAAATACTGTTGTATTAGCTCATCTTTATCATAGATGATGAACAAGAGATAATCTTCTGTTTAGAACAAATCATTTCATAAATATCATCTTACATATGCTCACTGGTATTGGTAACAAATTTGTTCAGCAGCAATATTTAATGGAAAATTGGAAGTACTTGTTCAAATTATACCAGAAATTTATTCATGTAGGAGTCATTGAATTTTCTTAGCTTCCTGTCGAGCATATTTTCTATAATCGAGTGAATGATTCGATATAGAATAAAATCTTTTAACATATGACTTATATTCTGGTTTAAATTTATTCCGTTTGCCATTATTAAAACATTACATCAAAACATCTTCACGAATATCATCGATTTATCGAGAAATACTCAAAAAACAAATAAAATAAACGTAAAAATAGAGAGTTAATAGTGAACTTTAAAAGATCTTGAACTACTCCACTTTTTTATACTTTTGAGTAACTAATGTTTCGTTTTCAATAAAACTGATTTAGAGTATAGTGAGCTTTTTTTATCTTTTATCGACTGCTTTCTTAACTAGATAAATTAAATATTCACAAACAACGGTGTTTATTCAGCAAAATCATCAATTTTATTTCATACATTAAAACATTAGTTTTGACCGTGAATTAACCACCTTTTATTTGATCTTAATTAACTACTTCGTTTGTTCAGTTTATCTTTATTTTTCATTTATACGATTTTATTACAGCTTTATAGATGGAGAACGATCAATTTGTCAGAAATTTTGATGTCCATTGGTCATGCCAACAAGGGAACGTCTCCAGGTGTCTTCTGTAAAATTATATTGAAACTTTCGTGGTTTGTTAAACGGATGGTGTTGAGCGCGAATCTGAAACTTGTTCGTTCCACTATTGAATGCTCTCTTTCCGGCAACTTTTTCGTTCGTCATCGCAAAAATTACTTTATGTACACGTGATTTTTAAATAATTTTATACAAAAGTTCAAAAGTAGGAAAAGAAATAGGGTACAAGTACAGAGTCTAAAATAACGGAGCTAGTAACACAGAATATAAATCACGTCACAAACTGAGAACTAGTCGCTGTCTATATGCAATCCCGAGCAAAAATCTCCTATGAGAAAAATCTAAATACATTTTGTCTGCAATCGGGCGATGCACGACTAGTTGTCATCTAGGGATCATTAGTTGGAAAAGAAACTTTTAATTAGATGCGTCTGCATGTACAACTAGCAATAGTTAAATCGATCGATTATCAGGCGATAAATCGATAGTTGTATTGAGCAGAAATCTAGCAAGTGCCCGATTACTAGATCACGGTTGTTACCAAATAATTTCAATCGAGTAAAAATCTAGATGAATCGGACGATAATAGATCTTTTTTTTTAATGCTTGCGATAGATCTTCTGGAATCTTCTTTCCAGAACGCACTGGAGGTACACCAGTTCTTTTTTCTAGTTCTTTCGGATCTAAAGCTGACTTTTCTCGATCATATGAGATATGAATGATATCTACAATATTGTAAATGAAAAATTTATATCTCGTTTAAAACTCAAAAGTAGGACGAATAGACTTCAGATTCGTACTCAACACTATCAGTTGAACAAACCACGCAGGTTTCAATATAACTTTAGGGAGGACAACTGGGGACGGTTTCTTGTAAGACTTCACTTAGCCTACAGAAATGTTTTATCTAAAATACCATAGGGTCTACATCTGCTTGCGAAAGTGGGATGGCTTCGGGAGCCAGCTCTGTTTCTTCGGGATGGAGTGTCTTATTCTTGAGCTAGCCGCTCGTTAATAGGATGTAAAACAATTAGTGGCTACAGATAAAAACAAACGAAGCTGCGTAAATACACGCAAACAAATGTTTTTTGGTACATGGAACGTACGAGCATGTTCTGGAGAAACTAAACGAAAATTAATTTTGTGTTTGTTTTCATCCTACACTAGGTTCTGTAATACGGGTATTTTATCTTTTTATCTTACGACTTCACACTGTGCCATAGCGTGGAACAAAACTGGTATGAAAATCTTTTATTATTTCCCCGTATTGACCAATGTTGTTTCGAAATATTAAATGTTCAAAGCGTAATATCTTTTATTCAATCTCATGTTTCTTTCTAATCTGATGATTTCTTGTATTTTGTGTAGTATAGTATTTCTATGATGGTTTCCCACTGTACTTCATCTCTGATTATATGGTGTTTAGTTTCGTTATATTTATATGGTTTGTAATTTTGAATCTTCTTTTTCATGCTTTCGTTTAATTTATATTAACTATCCGTGCTATTTCTAATTGAGAATCGTGTAATAACTAGTTCTGTTGGTATATATATGTTCTGAATTATAGCTTTTATTTAACTATTATTCATTCACTTAGTTGGTGAGATTGCAGAAAGATTTTCAAATTTCTTTGCATTATGCTCTATTATTATGAAATTACTATGTATATTCCGTGATGTCTTGTTATATTTTTATTTTTTCGTTTTTATATTATGTTTGTTTGATATAGTGTATTACTTTAATCCAAAGTTTTTATCACTGTCTCATGCACACATATCGCAAAAAATAAGAGTTTGTATATCAAAGAATTGCATATTTTTTTCTTTTTCAGATCTGTGATTATCATGTCCTATTGTAAATTCATACCGTTAGCAGCAATGACTCTTTATCAAGTGTAGCATCTGAATTTTTTGTTCAATGAATCGATCGATTTTATTTTATCAAGCAAAAAAAATACTTTTAGTATCATTTGCAAAACAATTATGTTCTTTCAACTACACACAAGGCCAATCACCTCCAGATAATCCAAAAATTCGAGAATATTTTTATTTTATTGACAATTTTGGACAGGTTGTAGAAATTTTTTAAAACAACAAAATAATGATATTTTATTCGAAAAATGATTATTTTTAGCTCTTTTTAGACGATACAAAATTTAAAAATTTTACATCGTGTTTTAAAGGTAGGCATATATAAATAATAACAGAAACTCTGTTCTTTCTACTAGCATGTCTAACTGACGAGGGAACCGCCCCAAGTGCTCTCGAGTTTTTTCGTCGAAACACACATAGACATAGGTTATTACTGATGCCGTTTTCGAATATGATAGTCGGAGTGGCATACGGGCCTTTGGAGACCAAGTTTTCTAGAAAACCAGTTTTTCAGAAACTCTAAAAAATAACTAAACCGTTTCTTAATCAGGTATAATTGTAGCCCGAAAATTTTTGATTAAAATGAGATATCTGCCAGCTCTTCGTGACCTTTCTTTACAAAGTTATAGAATTTGCACGAAAAGCCCTAAATGTTCATTGTCAGCTCAAAGCTGCAGAAATAAGAAGAAATTAATTAATTATTTAATTAAGAAATATTTATTATTTATTTATTATTATTTAATATTTAATTAAAAAAGAAAGGTTTTAGTTATTTTTCAGAGTTTCTGAAAAATTGGTTTTCTAAAAAATCTGGTCTTCAAGAGCCTGTATGCCACTTCGACTATGATATTCGAAATCAGCCATAACTTATTGCCTATGTGCGTTTCAACGAAAAAGCTCGGGAACACTTGGGACGATTCCCTCGTAAGTTTAATAAATTTATTCAATTGATCATTGTTACATAACTGAATCATTCTAATATTTCTTTTCTTTTCTTTTTTGTATTACTTAGATGTTCCATTTTTGAAATTTTTTTTTTCTCATTTACGAGTCAATGATTATGAACGTTTTGAACATGAATTTCCCTATGTATCATTATGTGGTCGTGAACGAAATTATATTCGATGTGATGATGTACCAATTGTGTTTACAAATTTAAAAACGGATGATATATTTAATTGTTGGTACATTGAGTCAGATAAAACATCGATTAAATTTGAACCGTCAAAAGTGTATATGAAACATTTAACGGGAAGAATTTATCATCCAGCACCCGGTCTTACTACAGAAATTGGTCTTATTAAAGATAGTATATCACAGATGTTGAGTGAACATTTTACCTATGATAGTGATGGACATCCAAAGACGATTACATGGAAAAAAAAGACATATATTTTAACTAATGAAATTGAAGACAAAGTGAATAAATATAGTCTATTTAACAATGATTATAGACAAACAATTTAAAATCTATATTTAAAATATGTAGCTGTATCGGAAATAATGTATCAGGTAGTATTTTGTATAGTTTTTGAAATATTAGACTTTTATATTTTTGTATTCGTCGAATGATAGCAAAATATGCATAAAAAATAACTTTGATGATTGTTTAATCTATTTATTTTCTACATGTATTTTGTTGAAATATGTGCGAGATTAATCAAAGTATATTTTATATTTGACAAAGCAAAAACAAGATAACAATAAAAAAATAATTTGATAATGAAAAAGTTCATTCTCATTTTCTAATAGATTCCTGGGCAAACTCTATATTTGACTTTTTGACAATATTCGTACCAATATTGTCCATATTTATATTTACATTTTTGATCATCACGATGTGCTCGATGCATTAATAATATAAATAAAATAATGAAATAAAAATAGGGTAACACATAGTGAAAACCATTTGGACATGACCAAATAAATGCCAGCAATAATTCAGGTATATAATGAAAATGTCGAGAAATACTCCAATAACCACTGACCAATAATAAACTTTCCGATTTCTTACCATTGAGTAGATAATATTTAGCTCGTATGATTTGTGGACGATTACCCCATACAAAACAGTTACCATTTGTATTACGAACATGTAATTTTTGATGATCAGCATCGTAGTTTACATAAACTGAAAGAAAACCAATTAGTAGGACGAATAATGTTAAATTTAAACCAAGTTGTTGAGGATGAGAGACCAAAAAGTAGGATGGTAGAGTGTATAAGGCTAAAAAAGATAAATGATTATACACAAACTATAATTATGATTTTGAAAAGGGACTAACCTGGAACCCAGACAAGACATCCCCAACAAAGATAAAATCCGGCCCGATCTACAATAATATCCATTGTTTTCATATAACCCGATTCCCACCAAAAGAATTTAGCTAAATAAACCACTGTCAATATACATGTCACCAATGAACTATCCGTGTATCCATACAACTCGAATGATTTCATACAAAATATCACGGACAAAAGAGCCCAGGCTAACATTCCAAATCGACAATTTGTAATTAATTTAATATCTATATCAAGAATTCTTGGATACAATTCAACACCACGATAAAAATCAATGATCCAATTAGGTGATGATCGATATTCACACAATGATGGGAAATATTTACCTGGAAATACAGCAGTTTATATCTCTCATGGTAACGGGTGATGCAGAAATCATGGACTAATTTTGTTTTGTATTTCTGAGCCACTTAGATGTTACTTGAAGACTCTGGAGGTCGTATTACGAAAAAACTTAAGTCATCGCGTTAAGTCGTAATTTAAGTCAAGTTTAAGATCGACTTAAATCCGAGGACTTAAACCGTCTTACGAAAAGACTTAAGTTTGTCACCGTTGTCAACGACTTTCAAAAAGTAAACAACTCACTAACTTGGGACAAAAACCCGCAAAATAACGAAATATTTATTTTATAAATCTTCTTAAACGTTTCGTCGAATCGTATCGTTAAATATCTGAGCTATTCGAAAAATGTGTCAATAACTTCAGCCCGATTTACCTTTTCAGTCTTAACGTAAAGCTACATTTCTCATGACCCTTGACTTAAGTTTTTTTTATAATATGGTTTGAATCTAAGATGAGGACTTAACTGTGACGTAAGTCTCGGTTTAGGCTTAAGCCCTACTTAAGTCTTTTCGTAATACGACCTTCTGCTCTATATAATCCGATATTAACATGTTGTTTCATTAGTTGAAAAGATAAACTCAGAGTAACGGCAGGTAAGAAAGAGAACTGTGACAGAAGAATGTATTTTTTTAATACTCAGTCTAATTACTTATTAATTAATGTTTCCATTAGTGATTTATCACAGATATTTTTTTGTAAAGACTTCATCCTTATCAAAAAATAAAATATTTTATAACGTTTTGTCACGATAATAAACGATTCAAAAATCATAATGCATTTCTGTATTTAGTTGTTATTCGATAATCAAAGATCCTTTTCATCTGTCAAAGGTAGAGAATTTTTTGTTTTATAAAATTTAGCATGTCGAGTACTTGCTCCACATTCTTTGGGTAATGTTTTTCCTACTTTTTGTCAAACCTGGCACCATTCGGAACGCTTGACTTTTCTTATGTAAGAAAATTTTTTGACACTTTTGACCGTTTTTTGTCACAGCGTTACCGTTTTTCTGATTTTTCTTTGATTAATACAGATTAATTAGAATAGTTTCGAACTTGACAAGCTATCACATCTTGTAGAGCGAACAATTTTCTACAAACTGCTATACTTGTTCAATGTTTAACAGCTCGTCTTCACTCTTTTAGACACACTTTTCAGATAGCCCAAAAATCAATTTTTGGGGCTGGTTGTACAACAGCTGTATTTTCATAACGAATCAACGTTCAGAGTCCAGACATTTTTCATTTTGTAGAGAAATATTTAATCTACTTAATCATCTAGTTGCCATTTTAGATTAGTTTGTAGCTTTATTGCAATAACTTTTCGAAAAAGAGCAAAAAATGGAGGCCGTTAGCTGGACAAGTGGTAAAATTCAAAAGTCAAAAATTCTCTAAAATTCTGAGTGCGTTACTCTGCGTTATTTTTTCAAATAATGAAACAACACATCAATATCGAATAGAGAGGGTTATGTAGAGTATCAAATTCTGTCGTGTGAGGCTAAAGCCGAGTCTTCAAATAACATCTAAATGTCTCAAAAATAGGAAACAAAACTGGTTCATGATTTCTGCGTCATGCATTATACTGTGGTGGAGAAGTAATGTCATTCTTACCTTTTAACATTAGAAAAAAACAAAATACAAATGCAAATGTGCTTAATGTTGATAGAAATTGTTCAAAATTATCATAGATATACGTTGGTGTTAAACCGAATAGTTTCAATCCACTAGTTATTAGCATAAACAATCCTAATGAAATTAGATAATAACTAAAACCATTATTTTTATATTCGGGTATATGACCATTATCTGTAATTGGTCCCTGATATATTTCACCCGGCAATATAAGAGTCATTAAAATTGAATAAGAAATAAATGAGAAAAAGATAAATGCACTTGGCCAGTGCCATTGAAAATAAAAAAAATTTTCTAACACTTGTTTCAATGTCATCTCAGTAAATAATTGTTTGATAAATTCTAAAGAACAAAGATGATCGACATAATATCATCTTCTATTATGCTTTAAAAATTTGATGAACGTACCCAATATTGAACCATTGGCATGTGTACAGATATAAACCACACTTCGTATAAAAAATGGACAAAATAAACATAACAGTAACGGGATAATACATTCAAATATAAATTTATTTTGACCACGACGATGATGTACTGATAATAAATGGGGTTCCTTTGTTTCTAACACATTAGGCGATGATAAATCATTTTCATCACTAATAGTTCCCGCTTTTTTCCTCAAAAAAATATCATTTTTTGCACTTAATTTAGTGTTTTTAATTGACATTGTTCACTATACTAGAAAAACAACGATATTTTTTAAAAATTGATTAAAGGACAAATTCAATCATCACTTTCGCGGTTTATCAACAAAAGGCGTACTTCATATATATTAATACAGATTTATTATTTGAAAAAAATGATTACATCCATTGCTGATTATGAAGCTTGTGCATACATCTTTTGTGAATATTTAAAGTTACTTACTATTCTTTAGTGAATTTCGCTTTTTGTACACATTAAAAAATAATAATATTCTGATAAAAGTTTGAAAATTTGTCTACTTATAAATGATGGATCATGTGTGTATATTTTTCGTGTTAAAAGTTTTTTAGTATGGAAAAAATTGCCTGTTAGAGAGTAGATCTATCTAGTTTTTTGATACTTAGATTAGATATGCAGAGAGGATATGTAATACTTTAACAAAAAAGAAAAAGTTTTATATTCTATGAGTAATTGAGGACGGAACAGAAAATATAAAGAAGCGTATAAACTGAAAAATTATTTTATTGTTGAGAAACTAAGAAAAGAAAAAGAACAAGAACGACTAACGAGGGACCTTTTTCAACTGTCTAACCACTTTCTGGTCGAAACCTAATGGATTATAGGTTATCACCCACGCTGATTCCGAATATCCATATGAGACGAGCCGCCAGGCCTTACTAGAGCGGTTTTCTGCAAAATTGGTTTTCCAAAAACCTCGAAAAGCCCCTAAAATT